GAGGCAGGGGGATCTTTAGTCCAAGGGAAAACTGGACTAACTACATAGCAAATTCCAGGCCAGCCTCAAAACTGTAAGATTCTTGCCCACAAACAAATCTTGGCTAAGAGTGACCGTACGACTAATAACTGAGCACCAAAAGAGATGGCTTTATGAACGAGAACATGGTCACCCATTGATTCATTTCTTCATTCAGACAAACTTCCTTGCTGGGTGGGATAATAACAGCTACAACAGGAAAACACCTACTTCTCTGGAGAGTTCATCTGAGAACTAAGTTATTGTTCGCTACAATTGCAAACTGTTTGGGCCTTTTGATTTGAGAAGCAATCTTGGCAAAGGCCAGGGCTGATCTAGAGCTCTCTGCATAGCCCAGACCTTGAGGTTTTCTCCAGTGCTGGGAGTTGCAGGCATGTACCATCAAGCCTAACCTGCGGCAGGCTTTTTTTTTTTTTTTTTTTTTTTTTTTTGTCCATTTGCCACTCCTCCTGTGAGGCCATTTGAAGGCAAAGCGCAAGAGAAACAACAGATGCTTGACTTGAAATGTTGGATTGGATTCTCTTTTCCTCAAAATGGTTTCAATTAGGATGGAAACGAGCTGGATTTGAAAAATCAAATGCTTTCTTTTCTTTCTTTCATTTTCCGTTTCTTTCCCCAGTAGGACGAAGGTTTAGTTAGGTGAAGAAGAGAGAGCTGGGGAGATGGCTCAGTGTGTAAACAGCTTGCTGTGCAAGCATGAGGACATTATATCAGATCCCAGCACACACAGAAAAACCTAATGTGGCGGGCCATGTCTCTAACCCCAGTGCAGGGAGAGGAAAAGATTCTGGGGGGTTCTCTGGTTAGCCAGCTTAGGCAAAACAGTGAGCTCCAGGTTCAGAGAGAGACCTTACCTTTTAAAAAAATATGGAAAATATGGAAAAAAATAGTTGCTATCAAACCTCTGATCTCGATACAGGCAAGGGTACCTGCACACTTATCTATATAACACACAATGAAGAAATAGATATTAAGGAAATAAAAAACAAAAGAAGAGAGAGATCCATGTATTAGACAATAACCAATAATAAGGGAAATTGTGGTTCCTAGTACATGCAAGTAACTAAACTATGTTTAAGTTCTTTTTTTTAAAAAAAAAAAACGTTTCATTTAGAATAAACATTTTATGCTCAACCAATTCTAAAGGAAATATAGTCCCAGTTTAAAAGAGAGAGGAAGTTGAGCAAGTGAACACAGCTAACAGGTAAAGACCAGGCTAAGGCCGAAGCATGGAACCCCTGCTGATATTATAATAGGTGCCCCTGCCTTTTAAAGATCCTTCATGAAGAAAACACATTCATTCAGCTCAGGCAGGTCCTGCAGACACCAGTAAAATGTACACCGCATTGGTGGCTAGCTTATGTTTTATATATTTCCTAGATAATAAGATATTTGAAAACAAATTAAATTTTTATCAAAATCCTGGGCAAAGTTTACAGTTTTCTTTTGTGTGCTCAATTTTTGATAAAATTTTAATATTTATATTTTATATTACAGTAGGAAAAAGCACCTATTCTTTGATTTCAAAGTCAAGAAAATTTTTTCATTTTGAGGACTGGCTCTCACATGAAAGATATTCAAATAATCACGACACTGATAACACTAATTTGATTGAATATTGCTGTCCTCTTGGTTAGAAATATTGAAAAGCTGTTTTCACTTAATTTTTTTTTCTTTACTCAGAAAAATACAGTCTCCAAAGGTAATCCAGTCAGGGACTATATTACTGTGGGTTTTAAAGAAACTGTTGATAAGTCCGTGTGCATTTTATATGTGCCTTTAAGCTTCCATGCAAAAGCTTCCGTGTTTTTTAAGAAATAAAATGGCATTCTGTAAAGTTTAATGAAGCATATCCAAGTATGAGGTTTTAATGTGATTAATATTATGTGAGGTTGATTTTAGGCTAGGGGAGTGAAATGCGTACCCACCATCTCACTGAACCGAAGTAAGTTTCCATATTTCAATGGTTGGCTATCAAAATATTAGACTACATTGCCCAGTCATCTGTGTTCTAAAAGTGCAATGACTGCACCGCCCCAGGAAGGCACACAATTACTTTTTCTGGTACTGCATTTCCTTTTAATTAACCTTTCCCTACCACCTGCCCCCCCCCCCCCCCCCCCCCCCCCCCCCCCCCCCCCCCCCCCCCCCCCCCCGTGCCTTTGGCCGTTTCCTCCGTCTATCCTGGCCTTGTTCCTCAACTTCATGCCACTTTGATTCTCTTTACTCTTGTTCCAGAACCTAACATCTTCCCCTTTCTCCCCCTTTTCCTGCCTTCATTCCTTCCTCCCCTTCTTTTTTTTCCCCCCCCGTTGTGATTATCCTTGTCTCATCTTTACCCGCATCTATCCTCTGCCCCACAGTTCACAGGATAGATGGGAGACTGGCCCATATCCTAGCAACATAACACTCTGGTTTATGTGGGGTTTTTTTTCTGCATATGAAACGTATTTCCCCCTTTTTGTGGTAACAGAATCCTTTCACCGGGTCTTTCTTCCTCTTGTTCCACAATCCATCACCCCACCTTTCCACACTCAGCGTGCAGGTTCTGACCTTCCCCCTCTATTACCGCTGAGGGCTCGGCCTCTTTCATCCCTTCTGCCGCATTCTTTGCCTGCATTTCTTCTTTCAAAAGCTCTTTGGTTCTGTTCCTAGCAGCCGATCCTCTTGATATCCCATCTAGGGAGGGAGTGTAAAGGAGAAAGCCCACCAAACGGCTTAACTTTCATATAGTAAATGGGAATGTTGGCTCGAGCTGAGCGGCCGTCTGTGCAGCAGGACAGTCCGTGGGCACTACGGGAGCACAAAACGTTTGAGTCATGTCTGTGTATGTCTGGATTCCGGATCTGTGTCTGAATAACACAGATCTGCTTGTCTGAACCCTGTTACGATTATTCAGTGCAGCTACTCAAGCCCAAAGGTATTGAAGTTCTAACAGAGAGGCTGCCAAGGCAGAGAGTTTGACTTAAGTTCACAGATACAACACAAAGGAATAAAGAAAGACGGTTTAAAGCTGTGGTGTGTTAACAGCCACTATCTAGAAGTTAATAATAACTTGCCATCTCAGATACGGCTGCTAAATAACCTACAAATTATATCAGAGCTTTTCTGTCCTGGCTCACATAACCCTTTTAAGATGAATATAATTTACTTATTAGCACTATATACACAGTGAGATCTTCTTTAACAGCAGAAAATGTGGAATAATTGGCATCTTGTCAGAGAAATATGAACAAAGATCCCCTTTATTAAAGTGATCTCACTTCAATATTAACAATTTACAGGAATTAATACCATTTTCCTGATGTGGGCTAACAGTTGTCTTTATCCAACACTAACCTACATTGGTTAGTAGAAGTTATTTCCCTCAGCGAACTCAACTGCAGGAGACATGAATGTGATTATACAGCTAAAGCCATGGCTCTCAGTATGAGACCCTGTCACTTGGTAGAAGGGTGGAGCTGGCGGGTAGACACAGGTAGTGGAGAGCGTCTGGCATTGTTAAATTTCTTGTCATTTAGGGGAAGGCCCCAGCATGCTATTGCACCTACATTCCTGGGACAGTGCTGATCGGGAGAGGATGCTATCATGCCAGAAAAGCCTAGAAACCCTCCTAAGAACCTCTGTAGCACCCTGGAGTCTTGCCAAGAGAGCTAGGTAGAGTGGCTCTGACCTTGAGTTCACAGGGTCTGTGCTGAAGTGGGATCTCTGCGTCATTTTACGTACATTGCCTACCCTCCAACATTTCAGTTAACACAACCAACTACTTTTCCACGCTTGTATCCTCTTCTCGGGCAAAGCTGGAGCAGAAAAGCAGAGCCCTAAGAATAGCAGCTTAAAAGACTTTACCACGACTCCTTCTCTTTGCTCTAGGCAGGAAACTTTTCTTTACTGGACTGATTGTTTTGTATCAAAAGTACAGGAAATGATTTGGTAAACTCTGTCAAACCATTATGAATTTTTTGAGCAGCAACTGGACATAGTGTAGCATGTCCTCATAGTAGAGAATATTGAGGGTCATTAGGTGCCAGCAGTTGTTGAAGATGTGTTGACATGTGTGATCATATGTGTATGCTATATATGTATGTACAAATACACACACAACCATCGTATATGCTTTTTCTTCTTTCTTTTCTTTCTTCCTTTTCTCTTAGTTTTTCAAGACAGGGTTTTTCTCTGTAGCCGTGGCTGTCCTGGAACTCACTTTGTAGACCAGGCTAGCCTCAAACACAAACACAGACATCCATCTGCCTTGCCTTCCAAGCACAGGAATTAAAGACTTACTTCACTACAGCCCCACAGTTGACATAACTATTATTTATCTATCTATCTATCTATCTATCTATCTATCTATCTATCTACCTATCTATTTATTTATTTTGTAACAGGTGAAAACTGAGGCACCAGTCAGTTAGATGATACACCCAGTGTCATGCAGCATGTGACAGAACGAGGGGCCATTTGAGCAAGATCGCACGCTCAGCCATGGAGCTTGCCATAGGATAAGCGAGTTAATTAATTCAGTTCTTGTTGTCTGGTGTTGTGGTTTTGTTTTCTGTCTGTCAGGCTTGCTCTGCTGCATTGGGCCATGAATAAATGCTTTGTCTACAGTTGCTAACACAAAAGCCTTTTCTATGAAAGCTCTTTCTCTTGGCCTGATTATTCCAAAGCAGAGGCACCTGTGCTATCAGAAGGGCATTAGGTCCCTGGGGCAGCAGGCTTAAGAAAGCACCCAGTGGAATGAGCGTCATCCTCAGTAGCCCAAGCCCTGCTGGCTACAACCCTATAACTGGGTTAATTGTTATGATAGTGGCATTCAGAGCAATGATCTCTGAGGTCACAAGGCCAAGGGTTTCTGGTAAAGAGCCCAGAGTTCAGGGTGTAAGGTGAGGCCCAAACAACAAGAAGAAAATGAGGTCAGCCACACAAGTGTTGGAACACCAGGCTGCACTAGAAAAAAAAAAAGGTTAAAAAAAATGTCACACACTGTCAGGCACCCTGGAGAACGGAGACAGCCACGCTGCTGAGTGAGTGACGGGAAAGAACAGGACCCCACTGGGTGGGTCTCTCCTGTAATGCTTCCTAACTGCCATAGCAGCCATTGGGTGCTAAAGCTCTTCTCCTTTCCTGTGATTCCTGGCAGTGAACACCCTAAGGGACGTGCCTTCCTTCCCACCCAGATGGGGCTCCCTCTACAGTTCTCTGGAAAGATTTTGGCTTTCCATTTTGCTCTTTTGGTGGCATTGTTATGTTATGCTGTCCCTGTGGATCAAGAGTTAGGGTGAGGCTTCCGAATGCCTTCCTAGCAGCTGAGAGTGATCTGGTAATTGTGTGATAAGGTGAGCCTAGCTCTAAGATCCCACCATGCCCCCCAGCTGTAAGAATCAACACACTTGGACGGCCTTGCTCCTCTTGTATTGTTTATCAGTTAGCTTGGCATTCAGTCCTGACCTAAATCCAGACCTGTGGCACCCTAAAACCATAGTTGGGCAATGTTGATACATTTTCTGCATTGCAGGGTGCATGAGTTTGTTTGCTTTATGACTTCATTATTTATTTAAATTTACTTCTAAGGCTGTTGTGGTCTATCTTTCCAGTCTGAGATTTTGAATTCTAAATGGGGGTTTAGTCTGTTCCCAAGTCTCTAGTTCTTTCTAGCATATCAAAGGCTTATTTGATGATTTAGACAAAAATTATTCTATAGGGTAGGTATATTTTGCTTGTCTTGTGGAATATAGACGCCTTCTGAGTTTTGTAACTATAAATAAAAATGCACACATATTGTTTTGATTTTAACCATGGCCAGACCTTAAAAAGTTCTCATTTCCAGAGTTCTGGAGCTGGTAGCTGCCTCCCTGGTCAGCTTCTCTTATTCAGACCATAATAGTAGTATTTTGAACAAATGGAAAAATAAATGTATTATCTGACCTTGAATGTGTAAATGTATTAAAGAAAATTGACCCATAAAAACATGCCTTCTTTTCACAGTTCAGATTTATAAATGAGGAGATCTCAGCTCCATCACTGTGACAGAACTTTACAGGAAGAGCCCAACGGGGGTGAGACGCAAAGTCGGGGAGAAAACTTGAAATGTCAATTCGTGGAGCAAGTATGTTCATGGAGTTCAGCTTATTTAGAGTTTCCTGCTTTTCCTCCCCTAGCCCCACCCCCTGGTGAGCACTCTGAGCCAACCACAGCGGAGGAGGAAGTAACAATCAACCAAAGATCACTAGGCACAGAGACCTGGGTTGGAGAGAAAACTAGGGTCAGATACAAAATGTGAGTCTGGAGTATTGTTGCATGCTCTAGTCCTAGCACTGAAATGGGTGGGTGCAGACCTTCTTGTGAGACCAGTCTCGCTAAATACCCAGTTCTAGGGCAACCTGAGCTGTCCAGTCTCAGATAACAAGCAGAACCTACGGATTCATTCAACAGAATCAAAAGCAAAGAAATGAATGACAGGAGTCCAGCAGGCAGGAGGGTTAGAGAAGTATGACCTTATTTCTCTGTTTTCGTGGTGGGCTGACACTGCCGAAGGAATCCCTTAGAATATCAGCAGAAGTTGCCTTTCTACCTGCCTCTTATAACCACTCTTCTTAACTGTCTACATGGACTACTGTCTAAGTCCAACATGTAGCCTTGGCTGACCTAACACTCTGTAGACCAGGCTAGCCTCGAACTCACAAAGACCCCACCCACCTCTGTCTCTGGAGCACTATCACACCTGACTGTGGCAATGATCTGACCCCTGAGTTGGCTCTTGCTGCTGTGCCTCTCAGGGAATATTACACCTCTCCAGACCTCAGTTTTTTCATGATTAGAGGGCTGAGGAGAGAGCCAGGACCTCTCTCCTCAGATAAAAAAGTCACTAGTACAAGGTAACTCTGTTTGCTTTTCCCCATTACTAGAACTCCTTGCTTTCATGAGATTGAGCTAAAAGCAGAGAAAGATATATAATTGATAACTGAATATTTTAGGTAAGAGAGTGAAATAAACACCCTAAAACGAATCATGAAAGTTCACTTTATTTCAGTTTGAGACCTATTGTTGATTTGTGTTTTATCTAGCATTCTCAGCTAGCAAATTCTAATGGTTACTTTTCATAAGCGTAAAGCTTTTAATTTATTAATTTTGCTTTTTCTGTGTAGTCCTGGTTGCCCTGAAACTTTCTCTGTAGACCAGGCTGGCCTCGAACTCAGAGACCCACCTTCCTCTGCCTCCCTAGTGCTGGGATTAAAGGTGTGTGCCACCACCACCCAGCTACATCTTTTTATTTGCTACCTTTAAAAGGTCCAAAACTCCCAAGTGTTGTCTTCTCAATAGGGTGTTACAACAATCACAGCTGTCTCATTGTTCCGGGATTTCGGTGGAGGAAGTGGGCTTAAAGGATGTGTTAATAGCTGTTTCTGTTACCGTTGTCTTGGTCTTCATTATGTCTTTAAGGTTATATTGGCATGTAAGTGTTACACAGTTAACATGAAGAATTTATTAGTAATGATATCAGCAGAACTCCAAGACGAGCCAAGCTAAAGGAGCCTACCTCATCTCAAGCATTTCTCCGACGAGGATAATTTCACCGATATTTATTGTCAAGCTATTCATCTGATGTATTTCTTACAGCCGGCATACCAAGAGATTTTAGGGAATACATCAAAGAGGGCTGTGGGGGTGGACCGCACATTGTGTTCTCTTAACAATAGTTGGCAGCCGGCAGCATTCCTTTCCTCTGCGCTGACTCTGACCTGCTCCAAGGTTAAAATAAGGAATATGTGATCCAGTGCTCGCTTCACTTTGAAAATATGGATTTCTCACAGTCAATGAAACCTGTGTGCCCCTTGACTGTGTAAACAGCAATGAGTTGGCTACTGAGAAAATCAAGAGAGACAAGCTAGTGATACTCTAGTGTCTCTAGAGAGCATATTAGCATCAGGCCTCAAATACTTTGATCAAGGAATCTCCTTCTAGAGTGTAAGCACTGCAGGGTTCTGTCTCTCTCTCTCTTCTGTCCGTTGTCTCAAAGGTCTGTGCACAGTATTAGATACTAGTAAGTGATCCTTAGTGGAGGAGCCAGCTGAATGGTGTAGAAACACCCCTCCCCCATCTGGGTAAAATACATACATACATACACACACACACACACACACACACACATATATTTTGCTTAGTCAATAGTGATGAATGGTAGGAAAAGTCATTGAGCAAAACTCAGAATCAAAGTAAAACCCAGGACACCTAGGCCATGCTGCCGCGGGCAGAAAGTAAGAACTGTCAAAAATGCAAAGAGATGGCACAGGTGTTCAATGGTACAGGATTTGCTCAGCATGCACAAGGCCCTAGGTTCAGTGAAAAATCAATCAATAAATAAGCAAATAAAAGTGCAGACTGGAACATTTGTGAAATGAGGTTATCACTGGCCACACACACACACACACACACACACTACATTGTGGGTCATAAAGCAATTAAAAGTTGATATGAGCACAATATATCTGTTGCAGTAAGAATTAAAGAGTAATTGAAATACTAAGATAATTTCAAACAGAGGCACAAACTCACAGTACTTGTTTTGAAATGTTTCTTGTTGAAGAACATGCATTTAAAATCAAATTTTGAAGAAGGAAGCCAGCTGTAATGGCACATATCATTAACCCCAGCGCTCAGGAGACAGAGGCAGGCAGATCCCTTAGTTCAAGCTCAGCCTGATCTATAGAACAAATTTCAGTACAACATGGGCTACACAGAGAAACCCTGTCTCTACAAAATGAAACAGAACAAAACATTTTTTTAAAAGAAGGCAAAAAAAAATCACATGAAAAATGTTTTTCAATAAAGTTTTTTTAAATTTATGTGTGTGTGTATCTGTGCATGTAAGTGGGTTGCCTACAGAGATGAGCAGAGAATATTGGGTCCCCTGAAACTGGAGTTGCCAGTGGTTTTGAGCCTCCCATGTCAGTTCTGGGAGTCAAACTCTGGTCCTCTGCAAGAGCCCCCAAGTGGTTTTAGTGCTGAGCATTCTCTCTAGCCCCAGTGGAAGTATTGCTCTTGAATGCATGTAACATAGAAACACTTAAACGAGCAAACATGATTTGGTGTATGTGCCAATGTTCTAAGAGTGTATTAAACATAGCACATGGGTTCATTTTTTGTAAATAATAACCTTGAGCCCCACTAGGAGGGAGGCTGACTCAGATAACTTCCTAAAGTCAAATTACTGTACTTGCCCACACAGGCCTTCTTAGTCATTGTTCACAGCATAGCCACCTGTGAGGGAGATGTTGAGGAAGTCGTAATAAGCAGACTGTTTCACTGCAGCTTGGGGAAATACACTTCTAATTTTGCCCAACCAGAATCACGGAAAGGGTGACTGTGATAGCATTAGAAGGGGTTTCCTTTGATATCACAGGTTCTGTCTCTATACCTTAGGAGAAACAGAGAAACAAGCCAATCACTATTGAAGATTGTTCTTCACTAAGAAGAGAAAAACAGCATAAGCCTTCTGTTATCTGCATCCTCAGGGAAGGAGGGGCTTGCATCAAGACTACACTTTTCAGGCCGGTGGTTTCTGCCTCGTCTGAAGCATTCAGAACTGTGTGTTAACTAAATAAATGACACTTTACACATTTTGGACTGGAGTAGGTGCTGTTATAACTAGGAAATCAGAAATCTGCATGCTAATCTCTCTGCTCACATAAAGTGCAGCTGATAGTTCAGCCTCTGCAGATACGGTGGCAGATTTCTGAAAATGAGATAAAATAAAGCAGTTGGTTAAAGCGGTATAAAATACATAAAAAAAAGGTATGTGCTACCGTGGAATTCTTCAACCACATTTATGATATATTTTGGATCTTCTAGTTAGAAAAATTTAGAGACCACAGAGCTGGGCTCTTGCTTGAGTTTGTGCTGACAGTCCTGGCTTCCTAGGACCTCGGGATTGAAGAGTGTATGGGTAGATGTGACATCTGTGGCTGGCTTTGGACTAGATGCTCATGGAGGTGAAAGGTGAGTCCCATCAATCATTAAAGGAGGCTTTCATTTCTCTTGTGTTTCCACAACTTGGCCACAAATCCGAACAATAGAAGCAATGAAACTCAACATGGCCATTCCTGGCCATTCATCACATACTACAAGGACTAGAGAATGTGGTCAGACTGCTTCTCATTAACAATGGCCATGCTTGATTTAAACACTATAGTGTTCAAGTGTTCACAAGTGTGACCTGAGTAAATCATTTCTGTGTGTGTGTGTGTGTGTGTGTGTGTGTGTGTGTGCGTGTGTGTTTTCAAGACAGGGTTTCTCTACGTAACAGCCTTGGCTGTCCTGGAACTCGCTTTGTAAACTAGGCTGGCCTCAAACTCACAGAGACCCACCTGCTTCTGGCTCCCCAGTGTTAGGATCAAAGCACCTTTAAAATAAATTCTGTTAAAAAACAAATTCTAAACAAAATTGGGAAGATTAATCTCAGAACTTAAATGAGAATGAGAAAATGGCTTAGCTTACCTTATAACAGAGTTTGACAACAGAATCTAAAGAATACAAAAAAAAATATCATGGACCGCAAAGGGGAAAAAGATTTGATATGGACTTATCAAATCACTAATTCAGATTAGCCATTTTGCTAGTGTGGCTCTTTTTGTTTGCTTTTGGCAGTGTCTCATGCAGCACAGGCTAGACACAAATTCACCGTGTAGCTAAGGGTGACTTTGAACTTCTGTTGCCCTAGCCTCTAAGTTACAGGCCCACACCACCATACCTGGTTTGCAATGTTAGGCACGCATACTCTAGTTTTGGGCATGCTCGGCATGCCCTCTATCAACTGAGCAACATCCCTGGCTCCGGTTTCGTCATTTTGCCTCCTATAGAACGCATAGATAATAATGAGTTATCTCAAAAAAAAAATGCCTGGAATGTGGCATTTCAAGTGGTAATTGTGTTTCTTTAATTTTTTAAAAGTCAGCTCCTTTAGGGCAGAAAAGTACTATAAGAAAACAACTACTAAAGTTTTTACATACAGATGCATAGTAAAAACTAACCACAAAGAGGGGCCTTATATTTAGAACAAAAACATCAAGTTGGTGGGGGGGGAGTTGTTCTTATAATTGCTTCTATAGAATCCAAAATGCCCAGCGTAGGCAAACAGCAAAACATTTATATTGAAAAGTAAACACAGAAAATTTTAGCATTAGAATTAAAACCGATGTGTTTAGAGTTTCCTAATTACCATAAATAATTAAAAACCAGTAATGACTGTAAGATTATTTAAAGTATATACTCCTCAGGTCTTGAATTACTGCTACATGGTAGGAAGCCTTTTTTGGCTCCCTTTGTTCACCAGTATCTAACAAATGCAAGTGTTGTGACATGGCCCTTTAGAGGAAGCTATAATCCTTATAGATCTTTGGAAGGTACCCACAAGTCAGTGACGAGTTAGTTCTTGGTTCATATTTGAACTCCACGATCCTTCCCTGCTCTAAGGGTATTTTGGACTTGAGGCAGAGGAGCAATACCCATGCCCAAGGAAAGTGAACCTGATTCACTTTCTCCAGCGAACTTGAATCAGGAGCACAGATTATTAAGGCCTATAAGGTTCAGGTTTGTGCTAAAGAAGAAAGAGTTCAGAAAAGCCAGCGGTACCCAGAGGGAAACTGAGTAGGGGCAAGTGCAAGAGGAGAAGGGCTGATGTCAAGGGAATTGAGCAGACGTTCTAGAGAGGTTGCCCCCATAATGTCCCATAAGTTTTATCTGTAGCTTCTACCTTCTTTTCTCTGAACTTTGAGATTTCCTCTATTGGGGCAAAGCCGAGGTGCTGGGATAAACTCTCCAGTCTTGTGCATGCTTGGCCAGTGGTCCGCCACTAAGCTGTACCTCTAGTCTCTCTAGGGTTTGCATAGAAATCCCAAGTTTTGCCTAAGTACTAGATTGTGAGTTCAATGTAGGATATGGAGTAAAGGTAAAACTTTGATGAAGGAGGAAGATTTCCATATCAGGGACAGATACTTCATCATTTAGGTTTCTCTCTTTGGGAATTTGTTAAAACAAACTCACAAGACATATGCATATGTATATGTGTGTGAGTGTGTGTGTGTCCTTGGGATTGAACCCAGGGCCTCATACATGTTAGGCAAGAGCTCTACCACTGTGGCACACCTTCGTAGCCCTCATCTTACTCTTCGTTTTGAGACAGGCTCTTATTTAGTTGCTCAGGCAGGCTTCGAGCTAACTCTACAGCCTATAAGTAGGTCTTATTTTCCTTCCTCAGCCTCCCATGGGCTATTTATATCTCAAAAAGCAGCAACGAGATAAAAGATGTCCAGTAACTTCTGTAGGTCACATGATTTTTACTAGACCAGAATCTGATTTCAAGCACATAATTGGATTTTGTTTAGTCAAAACTTTAAAGTTTTGTGACATTCAGCCAAAATTCAAAGCTACAAGTTTCTTAGTGTATAGAAATTGTTTTTGCCCAAATAAGCATGATTTGACACAACTTGTACTTTCAAGAGGAATAAGTTAAAATAAATCTGTAATGAGACACCATCCTCTGTCTACAACTCTAAAGATAAATCAAAAGTCTCAGAGTTGACGAGAATTTAAAGAAATGAGTTCATCTCCTGCTTGCCTGCCTGAAATTCGAAGGGAACCGCATCAGTATGCACTCAGCAAACACTTATTGAATGTATCCCAGATGTCAGACACTGTTCCAGGCCCAGATATTCAGCAGTAAATAAAATTCCTGCCAGAATGCTGAAGAAAACCCACATCCTTTTAACAGCGTCATTGCCTTTCTCAGACATACGTTGGATCCTTGTAATAGAAGGACCACTCAGCATTCAGCATGCTGTGCTGCCATTGCCAGGTGAAGAGAAGTTGCCAAGGAGTCTCTACAGTGGGATTCCTCCTAGGAAGAGCACATAGATAGAGGAAGCGTAGCTCAATGTTTAGTATGTGCTTGGCATGTGTGAGGCTCTGGACTCAATTTTCAAGAACTAAGAAAAGCCCACTGCCAAAAGAACTCAAAATAATATTAATACCATCAGAAACAGACCAAAGCAAAAGATGGTTAAGGCTGTATGTTGACATTTTGGATAACTTTTCTTTTTTCTTAGTTGTCTTAGTTTGTTTGTTTTTAAAGACAGGGACTCATATGACTCTTGCTGTCCTCAAACTCACTAGGTGACCTTGAAGCCAGGGTTGACCCTGGGAGAGGACCCTGGCAGGATTATCATTGTACATGTTTGATGCTGATGGTGACTAGAAAATATTATTATGTTTTGTCTTTGGATGAGTCTGTTGTAAGGAAAATGCACGAACTTAAATTGTGTCCCATCTATTGCCTTTTAATTTTTCCTTTGAAAAGTACAGGCTGAGTGGGGAGATTGGCGAGGAATTAAAGAACACCTGTAACTGTGGCACTCCGGAAGCAGAGGCACGAGGGTTAGACATTGGAGATTAGCGTGGGCTACTTAGTGAGAAACATCAGGAGTGTGTCAGCCTGGCAAATGTAGGAAGACCTTCCACCACAGCCCCTAAAAAGAATGTTTATAGAAAAACATTAATTCAGTTACAGGCAGGAAATGCTGAACAAAAACTTACTATGGTGAATCCTAAAAACCAAACTTTATGTCCATAATCCTTTCTGTATTCATTTTAATTCAGAAAGAACAAAGCAACAGAAAATTTGTATGGTACATTGTATGAACCACATAACAGGAAGTTCAACCATTATTTCATAAGTTGGTAATGCCAGGAGGGGGTTGGCACATGCCTTTAATCTCAGCACTTGGGA